GGGTTTGGACTCCGAAGCAGAGCTGTTGGTACTAGTGGGCTGCGTTTTAAGGGACGTGTCACCTCCGCAGCTTCCCCCCCCCTCTCTGTGGTCTGAGCACACCTCGAGGTTTGCGTGTGGTGCGAGCCTGCGGCTCTGGGTGCGCCTTGGCTGAACCTCGCTGTTGATCCTTTGAGATTTTGCCTTTGGTACCTCAGTTGGGGAAGAGTGGTTGCTGCCACGGTGACTGGAAAGCTATTCCCTTTTTAGCTGGCGACCAGCAGCAAGCACTGTGTGAAAGTTCTGGGATGGAACAGGGATGTCGTGGAGCTTCTGTTTTGGCTGTGGATCTGGGCTTCCCGTGTGAAAGTTGTATCCCGTAGGGGGGTTGTGGGCTGTAACTTTAAGGACTTTGCCACGTGTTTCCTCCTGAGAGATTCTGAAACCATTGAAATACTACTGTCTGCTACAAACTGAATTCAGGATTTGCTTTACAGCCCTTAGAGTGGTGACTGCCGTCATGTTGTTTTGGTGATGTTTTTTATCATTCTGAAGTTCTTGTGCAGTCCAGAAAAGCAGCTCTGCCCTGAGACACGCCAAGCAAGGGAAGATGGGTCAGGAAGAAGCTTTCAATCTTCAGTCTCAAAACAACATTCCCTGCTCTCTGGCACATAAAATGCACGAGCAGAAATGTGGGCATCTGAGTTCCAGGGCTCATTCTACACCAGTTCTCTGTTTGATTATGAGTAATTACTAATCTTTTAGCTGCTGTCTGCCATGTAAAATGGGGCTAATGACACTGTATTTGTCACAGGAAGCTGAAAAATGAACTTCTAAAGTGGCAGAAGCGCTCAGCTGGAGGTTCAGTAAAAGAGCAGAGTCTATTCTTTCTGCTGTGTAAATATCTGGCTCTGTCATGCCATATATCAACATTCTATGTGTTTTGTCTCCTAAAAATTGCAGGTTCTTATCCTTAAGGGTCTCAAGCAGGAGGTCAGTTGCCTCTGTCCCTCTCCAGATGGGTTGCACTTGGCTGTTGGGTATGAAGATGGGTCAATCCGTGTCTTCAGCCTCCTAAGTGGAGAAGCGAATATCACTTTCAATGGACACAAGGCTGCAGTTACAGCCCTGCAGTATGACCATCTGGGTGGCCGGCTGGTATCTGGCTCAAAGGTGAGGGTTGCACATCTGGTGGACAGCCCTTTCACAGAGATGCTCTGTGGAGCAGGCTGACCTGCACTAAAATGTTTGGTATTTTAAGTGGGTTATGCGGCCTCTGCCTATAGCCAGAGGATGTCAATGAGGGGAGTTAGGGCTGCAAGACAGCGATGGAGATGGGGAGCACAGGGCTGGGAGAGCAGCGGAGACTCTGGGGCAGGAGGGGGGTACTAGAAGAGCTGTTAAAGGTGGAGAAGCTTGTGAAGTCAGGAATAGCAGAAGGCAGGATGGAGGTGCATCTGTTGGTCTGAAAGCACCTCAGGGGAAGGAATGTCACTTGTATTAATCATCCCTAATATTTAAATTCAGAGTGAGAAAGCTTGCTCTCAGGTAACCTTTTCCATCTCATAGCAGAGGTAGACATTTTGCAGAGACAAATGCCAGTCCCTTGGAGACACTCTGTCTGTTACAGGATACAGATGTCATCGTGTGGGATGTCATCAATGAGAGTGGTCTGTACCGGCTGAGAGGACACAAGGATGCTGTCACTCAAGTCCTTTTCTTGAAGGAGAAGAACCTGTTGGTCACCAGGTGAGCCAGGCTAAGCATAGTGGTTGATCAGGAAAGCAGCCATGGTTTTACTTGCAATTTAGACATCCCAGGTGCTACACGCCATTTGTATTTTCCTTCTCGACTCGTGATATCTCAGACCCACCACCATCTTAGAATATGATTTGGTTGTGTCCACATGTTTCAAAAATCTGGTGCCTGAATCCACATGTGTTAAGCAGAACTGAAAAGGCTATCTTGAAAAATAGTGTTTGGAAAAGGGTTAACTTGCTGGTAAATATAGCAACTTAGAATTATTGTAACAAGGGATAGCAATAATGTGTTCATTATGCATGTAACCGTTTTTGCTGTTTATCTTGAAGAATTAAGCAGACTGACTTTCTGTATGCGTAATTCACACAGCAATGTGACAGAAAAATTGCTTCCTAGTAGGCTGTAATTACAGGAATTAATTAAAAGATGATAGATTTTTTGGGGGGTTGTTTTTTTCGTTATTCAACATGAGCTGCTAGTTGACTGTATCCCTTTAAAAATAAATGGTTGACAGAAGGTTCTCTTGCTCAAATTTCCATCAATAATTTTTTATTTATTAATATGTCATCTAATAGCCTAATAGAAAAGTGCATGCAGTTAGTTCAGTGTAAAAATTATAACAAGTTTCTTGTGCTTTTTTTGTTGTTTCAAATGGAAAAAGTAATATTGTGTTGGTTTGGTAGATGATGCCTGTTTTTTAATGCAATTTCCAGTCTTTGCAGGTGAACTTTAGAAATGCTTCTTAATTCTCTCAGTAACTAAATTGAGATAAAGAATTCTTCTCTATTTTTTTTTATTAATAGAGTAAAAATGTTACTCTGTTTTTCTGAAGATGCAAAGTTTTGCTTTGCGCTTTAGATTGCTTTTTTGCCCAAGCAGCTAACTCCAGTCCTTTGTGTACAGACTTTTTTGTGATTTTTTCCATCTGTCCAATTTACAAGTACCTTTGGATCCTATGTAACAAAAGCGATGGATTAACAATAAATATCACTTGTAATCAGATATTTTTTTGTCCTGAGGGAGCTTAGTAATGGAACAACAAGTTTTATATTTTAATTTAGT